GTGGGTGTTCCAGCCCAGATGATACAGGCTAATTTCATGTTGCCCTAATGCAGAGGTACCTGACCTTGTTTACCTGAATTTACTCTTAATTATATCATTGCCAACCCTTCTCCCACTCCCCCTAGACAGATTTCTGACATGAAGTTAGGATGAGGGAGTGGATGCCTTATGCTTTTTCAGCGCAATAGAGCTCTTTCTGGGGACTATAGTTGCTTCTGGAGATTGTACGGAGTTTCTTAGCCCTACAGAGCAACCAGTCTGGGGGAAGACTAAGAAGACCAAAAGGGACTCAGTGTTGTATAGATATTTCTTGACATCGAAATTGAATTGGGTAAAAATAAAAATAGCTGTGATATGCCATTAATAGGAAAACTTAATCAGTTGCCTCTTAATATGTCTGTTAATCATTTGGCTCTATTAATATGTATGATGATAAATGATTACTTACTGATTTGTATTCCTCCAACTGGCTTATTCCATTATTAAAAATTTATGTTTGAAAGTATGCTTTCATTTTCTGCAGCTGAGTTTGTAGGTGGAATGTGTGATTATATAAAGAGACAGCAAACTACAGATATGATACAGGAAACTGTTTCTCAGAACTTCCAGTTCATTTATTGCGCAGCTGGAAGTTTCCTTATTAAAATCTTTTTAATAGATCCCTGTCCCTTCTTCCCTGCAGGGCAGATGCCCACACTGCTCTGCTTTGGGCAGCAGGAGGCCACTGCCCTCTTCTCCTTGCTGTGAGAAGTAAAGGAGCTGGAAACAATTGCCTATAAAGCTGTTATTAGTAATGACAGATTGCTAGTGTACACGTTAGTTCTTAATCAGGAGCTGGCAAGACAGTGCCAAACATGGCTTAGCTGAATGGGGTTTATATTAGCTTCCCCAGTACAGTTTGTGTTTTGGGAAGCCTTGGAGTGAAAGACTTTGGACATAAATAATTTGTGGTTATCACTTATAAGCACAGAACAAAGGCGTGACTATTAGTTGGTCCTTTAAGGATATGGTACCTATTGTTTTTATGAAGACTGAAGTATTGCCAGATGAGACACGCCCCAGAGCTTGTTGGAGAAGGGCGAGTGCTGCCCCAAATGTTCTCCTGATAGTCTATTCTCCATGAGGAAAAAAATCTCAGAGGCCTTTAGTTTAAGGGCAACAGACTTGTTCAAAATCACTGTACAGTTCTTAATGCATTTTATGTGCTACCCGCAGGCTGCCTGCAGTATGATGGCTCCAAGAGCCATCCAGTTAATACAGCCATGTGTATGCTTTTCTAGTTGTGTTAATGGTATTTCAACAAAATAGAATAGGGCTGTTCTGGTATTGTAGTAATTTGTGCACAACTATGAGAGATGTAATCCGACGGTGAATCATCCCTTGTTCTTCATACTTGAAATGTTGCTTGAGCCATTAAATTTCAAAAGTTGCATGGCCTTCTGATTGTCACGTACAAACGTTTCAAACAAACTGTGCCCCAGCTTTTGTGTGGTTTGTGTGAAGACCACACTGTAAGAGTCCTGTGTATGTTTATTGTTGCTGGGTAGCATCCATTGTTAAATTCAGGTAAGTTTCTAAGTACCCCCTGTGGTCTATAAGGCTCCTTCTTAGGCCTAGCTCTGGATCTTTTGGGGAGGGGGTGTTCTTGGTTAGTTGGTTGGTTGGTTGGTTTTGGTTTGGTTTTGGTTCTGCTTTTTATATTCAAGCCAAACAAACCATAAGTTTGAAAGTTTTTTCAAAAGTTGTATTTCAAATTCTCATATTAAGCCCTTTCACAGCGCTTGTTCTTTGTTCAACTTTCTTACCCTGTTTCAGGGGAAGAAAGTGAAATGGAAGGTGATGGCTAAGTTGTCATCTGCAGGAATTTATTTCTCATGGTGAAACTGATTATAGTACAGACATTTTCTCCTGATACGAACAAAAAGAAGAGCAGAGGACACATCCTTTCAAACCTTTGCAGCTGTGGAAGGAGAATCAGCTGTGTGGATGGGTACAACCTCAGCTCTAGGAGGTGGGAACAAGAAGCAGAAAATACTGGCTGTTGACAGGACCAGTCAGAGCTGGGAAGGAGCTTATGCAGGAGGAGCACGTACCCCCGTGAGGTGACACTGGTATGAAGGAGGCTGTGTCCTGGGAAGAGAGCTGAGACTCTGCACAGAGAGAGTGCAAGAGTCCCTGAGCACAGGAAGACTGGCACAGGAGGGCTATTTGCTGAGAGCAGCATTGGAGGACAGGCTGTGCTGCGTGTGTGGCAGGCTGGATCTTTGGACAGAGCTTATGTTGTTCAACCAAAACGGTGGGGGGTTTGCTTTGGGTGTGGTTTTTTGTTTCTTTTTTCTTTTTAAGCTACCTCCCTGCTTCTCTCCCATGTCCATTTTCTCGGAAGTATTTTTCTGCTTTCAGATGCTGGCACACTTGCTGAGTGGTTAATTGTTCAAAGTTTAAGGGTTAGGAAAGGGATAAAGTAATAATGATCTGTTGCACTGTATAAAACTTTTACGCATGGTTTACTGGTTTTCTTTTCACAGCATGTCACTACCATTTGTGCTTTGGAATTTATTAGCCAAAGAAAATGCTTGGCTGTGCAGTAGCTGTGGTGACATGGGACTATAAAGGAATTGGATTCACAATTGTGAGAGCTTAGTGGAGGCAGTTTCCTGGGAATGACATAGCAGCAGTGGCTAAGCTTTGGGAGTAGAAGCTGTACCTGCTGCCGCCGCATCAGCTGGTATAAACTGTGTGCAAGCCCTTCAGGACTTTCTGAAGGAGAAGCTCCCAGTGTACTGGTTAACAGCACAGCCAGCATTTTCACAAGCTGTAGCAGGCCAGCTGTTCAGCAGAGCTTTCTTTGGAAAGCCAATGATCTGAAGGTGTAGGGGTAGTCAGTAAGGAGATAGGTCTGCCCTAAAACTTTCTGAATCTAAAGGGGATTACTACCAGGTCATTTCTATCTGGGACCCCAGCAATGCTGATAACTGTAGTGTGGGACAGACTCTTGGATTCATGATGGTTCCAATGCTGTGTAGTACAGTGCTTTTGTTTTCAAAACTGTAGACATTCCTCGAGAGTTTAATGCCAGTTTATCTAAAATGCTGAGGAGAATATACCTAGCTCAGCGGGTTGTTTCATTGAATTTTTCCATTTAAGTGTCTTGCCATATAAATAATGCAGATGATATGAACTCTTGAAAATTCATTTATGTTCACTGATAATTTTAATTAAACCCATCTCTTATAGTAGCATAACCCAACATGTAGGTAGTGTCCTGACTTTGTGGTATTCCTCTAAGCCTAAAAATGTGTCAAGAGAATTTAGATTATATATGCCATTCAGTATAACTTAAAACGCATAAATGCAGAATATAATTCAAACTCTAGCCTCATGTTAGGAATGTTTTTAGCTTTTTAATCTCAAATAGCAAACAACAACAACAAAAGAATCGTGATATTTTACAATGGAAATTCTTCAGTTTTCTTTTTTGTTCTGCAAAAACTTCATTTTGGAGCTGACAATAAAGGAGTCTTCAGGTACATGCCCACATAGTCAGATACCCTGATCTGATGGGCATTGTCTGTTTTGTTTGGCATTGCATTTTAGAAAGCTAAGCTACGTTGATGCCCATGGCACTGAATGTACCTACTGCTGTGTATACCTAGAGAGAAATGTTATATTCAAGTGTTTGTTGCAGTAGGAGGAACCCCCACCTGAATTTGCAACCTGGTTGACTGTGTGCTCTAATACCATCCCATTTCTTAAGATTTGTCTTTTAAAATGATGACACATCTGTAATACAGCTGTAAATCACTGCAGGACATTCTGATGTTCTGTGACACACATTTCCCACACCTGCTAGGCATTTCTCTGAGGTTACCCAGCCTTTTGGGCACCCACACTGATCTCATCAGCACTGCAAATGCCAGCTTCCCAAACTGAAGACATACACAGGAGCCCTGGGGGCCACAGGAAAGCCTGCAAACAGCTCCTTACATTTTACTGTGGCTTGTATTTGTTAGAAGAAATAACATACCAAATAATGTTACTAAAATCTGGCTAGGAAAGGGAAAGGCGGGTGATCTCAAAAAACATAAGATAGTAACATAAAACTTACTGGAGATCATTGTTGAAACAGTATCCATTTTCAAATGCATCCATCAGAATGCCAGCCATGAGTATTCCAGCAATATCCATCCAGAAGAAACTTACAACAGTTTCTATGCTCTCATCTTTAATAACTGAACAGGTGGGGTTTCCTTGATTTTTTGGTTGGTTGCTTTGTTTGGTTTTTTGGTTTTTTTTTTTGGGGGGGGGGGGGGGGGTGTTGCATTTTGAACTACCAGGATTATGTTAAAGGGGAAGGGAAGGAAAAAGAAGGAAAAAGAAAGTAATAAAGAAAAAAAAATAAAGAAAAAAGAAACTGAGGTTAAATAACACATTTTCACATAATATAAATCTTTGCCTGACAGGATCAAGTGTTTTACTTTCCATGGGTATTTTGCTAGTTTAGGGTTGGTTTGGTTTTTTTAATTTGCCGTAGGACTACTAAGACCGAGCACATGAGCTTTCTTTCCAGCCTGTTGTACAGGGCAGAGGGCTGCTTATGCTGAACTCGAGCCTACCACAAACGTGACAGCGGGATCCCGGTGCCAGCCGCCTCTGCACGGTTTGCCGAAAGCGCTTCGTGCTTACACCAGCCGGAAGAGAAGTGAAGCTGTTAAACGCGCCTGTACTGGCTTCACAGCCCGGGAGGCGCTGAGCTCGCCCTCCCCGCAGACGCGGGTAGCAGCGCTCGCTGTCCTCGCCGGAGCGCGGCGGTCACACGGACACGCGTGGCTTCGGCTCCGTGCTTCCGCCATGTCTTTTCCAGCCCGGGCGCTGCTGATGCACCAAGAGAAGGGAGCGGCCCGGGAGTCACCGGCCGGCAGGCCTCCGCCCCGACCCTTCCCCGCAGCCCGCCCGGCAGCGGGGCTCCGGAGCGCTGGAGGTGGAGTAGGGGCGGACGGGAATGCTGAGGTACTCAGTCCAGACCGCCAGGGGGCGCTTGGCGCCGCGGTCTGACCACCAGGGCGTACCATTTCCCGCCGGGCGGGTGTTCACGGATAACCCTCTCCGGGCTGTAGCGCCCACCGACACTGGCAGCCTCCCTTCGCGGCTTGGCAGCCGGTGAAGACGAGAGCGGCCGCCGAGGGGCGGGGACGCCCTTATTCCTCCTGCCCAGTGTACGGGCTTCCCCTTCCCCGCGCTGCATCCAGTGGTATCGCCCCAGCTGCCGACTGCGCAGCGGCCCTGGCCGTGCGGAAGGGGGGGCATCTTTTGCTCTCCCCTGTTGTCATAGAGACTGCGGACTGTCGCTCCCCATTTCTTCCCCCATCCCGTCCCCCCACCGAGCTGGGACACGTCGCAGCCGCCGGCGGCGCGGAAGGTCTGTGGGGCCCTTCGCAGGTACGGGGATGGGGAGGGAAGAGGGGCAGGGAGCGAGGGGGAAGGAGAGCGCAGTCGGCGGGCGTGTGTCTGGTATGAGGTTAGGGGGCAACCCGTGTGCCATATGCGGGATCCGTGATGCCCATGCCTGCCCCTGACGGGGGCCCCGGCTCCGCGGCGACCGGGCCTGGCGTGGCGCTGCGTGTCCGCCCCGTGGGCTCCCAAGCCGCAGCTGGGCGCTGGAGCGGCCAGCAGCCGACGGCGGGGGTGTCCGGGGCGGGGGGAACCCGCAGAGGTTCCGCAGCCCAGGGAGGCAGAACCTCGTCCCTTGGTATCAGAGGCAAAGCGTCCGTCCCGTTCACCTGTCTGCAGACAATGCGGAAGGCTGTGAACGTGTCCATTCAGTGAGGAAGTTTGCAATCCGGGATTTGGAAGACGTATCTGAAGGTGACTGGCATTTTTTTTGCTTATAATTTTAATCTTCCTGCATTTGTATATAAGCACAAACACGATCTATTTGCCATATTTTAATTATTGGCTTTTTTTCAAACCTTGCTAGCAGTAATCAATGCACACTAAATCATTACGTCCATCACTGCTTTTCTGGGTGGGAATACACTATTCACCTGCCTTTTCGCAGCACAGTCCAGAGAAGGTGTCTTGATAACACTTTTTTTTTCCCTCCAAATGAAGTTTTGTTTGTGTTTTGTTGTTTGTTTGGATTTTTTTGTTTGTTTTTCTTGAGTTGTACATCCTATTTTACACTCATAACCTAACTAAATCTTACTTAAAGAGACCAGGTTTTAGTGCTATGAGAATGCTTTAGGACATGATTTTCACAGAATATTTAGAACCTCTTTAAGTGCTGCTGATAATGTCATTGATTCCTGTCCTCTAAGGGATTCATGCTCCCGGTTTGCATTTAGAGGTGAAGGAATTTGATGTGTTCTGCCAGCAAAACGGCTGCTGGGTTCTAAATGATCTGGACAAATCTCTTATTTATGAAAGTGGCAGCACTCTTGACTTGGCAGAGAAATGCTAGAATGCTTTCTAGCTCATACTTTGTTCAGAGGAGTATGAATACAATCCAGTAGCCCAATGATTAAGGTACTTACATGAGATGAGGGAAATAGGGTTCAATTTATTGCCATGGCAGGGCAATATATCAGTGTCTATATCAGATTACTCACAATTTGTGCTGACATTATATTGCAAGTTTGCCGCTCTGTTAGGTTTTAAGGTAGAGTTGATATTGTCTTTTTAAATCTTGTTGGAGCAAGAGTAGCAATATGCCTGATGAATGTTATACCCTACATGGATTTTCTACTCTCTCTGCTATGAAAAGCACTGCATACACCCTGGTGAAAACATAAAATTAAATCTTTACTGTAGCAAAACAAACAAGCAAAACCAACCAACCCAAACCAGCCCTGATGACATTGTGTGATAGTACTTTTATGTTTTTCCATAGACGTGGATCTAGGTTGGATGACAGAGCAATTGCATTTGCAGAGGTTGAATTCTGCTGTTGGGGAGTGCAAACCTGTATTTAATCCTGCGTTTAAAATCCTTTCTCATTTTTGGGTGTATCCAGCAGTTTTTGGTTTTGAGAGTTTACTACCATTGATGGAGCTATTATTGTTTATTAAAGATTATTTATTAAAGATTGTATTATTTACAACAATAGACAGTTATTGATCTCATTTTTTTTAACACTCTGAGAGATGACCTGCTTTGAAAGAATGTAGAGACAGCTTAGGTTTATTTTTGTGTCCTAACAGTAGGAAATTGAATGAAGATGTCTTTCAGAAACATTATAAAATGTTTTGTTATGGGACTTGGCTTTCTCTTCTTTATCAGTCATGGAGCACAAATTGACCTAAGTCTGGCATTCCTAAACCTAAGCATCTATTATCTTTTTATATTAGCTAACAGGAGAACTAGTGTCATAGAGTGAAAATAAGACTTTTCAGTGCATAAAATCCAATCACGCTTGTTTCCAGTTGTTCTAAACCAGATGTGTTTGAGGTTTTTAATCTAAATGCATTACAGAATGTGAGAAAATCAGGTCTGGATAACTTTTTTATCCTCCATAAATATATATGGGTACTCTTTGGTAAAATAAAGGAAAATCAGAATGCATGTGGTGATGCTGGCACAATACCTTAGTCTTGTACTTCAGCAGCTGCTGTTGCCAAGTTGACATGCAGAGCTCGGAGAGCTCCTTCTGCTGTTGGCTGAGAAGTCCTTTAACGGAATTCCTTTTGGAAAGTTGTATTTTGATATGAAATGTTTCACATTCCAGAGCTACTGGTAACCTTTCAAATCACAGATGACAGGTTATGAAAACTACTTGTTTCTCCCTATCTCCTTGTCAGTACTTTGACTGTCTAGAGTGAGACTTCATATTCCTTCTCATTGTTACTGTGTGAGAGATCCACATGCATGGAAGGAAAAAACATGTTTCATAAATAGGAAAATGTGACTGCAAAACTTCTAAAACAGACAGTGGGGAGTTGGAGTCATGTGTGTTAAATTATTTTTAACATTGTGTTGAAACTTGATCAGGTGCCCTGTTTATTGTGGTCCATCACAGCTTCTACATATTTACTATCCTACAGTACTTTAGGTTTGCCAGAATTTAAAAGTGGGTTATCTTTTTGTAACTGTGTACATGTTTTAGCTTATCAGGCAATTCCACCTTGCTATGAGAACCGAAGATGGATCCAGAAGAGCAGGAGTTACTTGGTGATTACAGATACAGAAATTATTCTTCATCAATTGAGAAAGCTTTGAGAAACTTTGAATCGTCAAGTGAATGGGCAGATCTTATATCTTCCCTTGGCAAACTCAATAAGGTACAGTGTCATAGGGGTATTTTTCATTTGTTTATGATCTTTGTATTGTTATTAACTTTATAGTACTTAGCAAAACTGAAAAATCATTCTGCTAAGTCTGTGTCTTTTGTATAAATGTGAGAATTTCTGGTAAAACCAACAGAGGTTTCCTTCAAATGGTATTTGTTTCCTTTTTACAGCTAAGTTAATTTAGTTTTTGCAGCAAAAGAGCACTTAAGGATGCTGGTTACTCACTCTACAGCAGCTAGAAAAGAACAGGAGGTCACAAGTTTTAGAATATATTGAGTCAAAGTTTATATTTAAAGATCACATTTACTTGACCATGCCCTTCCTTTGTATTTGGGGGAACAATTGATTTGTGACTGGTGTTGTCTTTTGTGTGACCATGGAAAACATGCTGAATAATGGAAGAAAGAAAAAGACTTTTAAGGGAAAACACTTAGGAAGTGTCCTCTGTCCTGCCCAAGAAACAAGTTATATGGTTTTGTGTCCTATAATGCTCTGTCTGAGTCTGCGTGGGGAAAGAGTAGTTACAGTCATTAAGGAAACGGGTGGGAGGAGTCAAGTCCCGCAGAATTCATAAGGAAACATCTGTTGTTACCAGATAGATGCCTCACATGATTTTGCTGTTGCTGTTTGCCTTGGTTCTACAGAGTGTTTAAACAGGAGAGTCATAGATTTTATGGAGTCGTAGAATATCTCAAGTTGGAAGGGACCCATAAAAGCCATCTAGTCCAACTCACTACCTAAAACTAAACCATATGACTAAGAGTGTCATCCAGGCACTCCCTGAACTCTGACAGGCTTGGTCCCATGACCATTTCCATGAGAAGCCTGTTCCAGTGGCCATCCATCCTCTCTGTACAGAACCTTTACCTAATGTCCAATTTGAACTTCCCCTGATGCAACTTCATTCCATTTCCTTGTGTCCTATTGTTGGTCACCAGAGAGAGGAGATCAGCACCTCCTCCTCCTCCTCCACTGCCCCCCTAGAGCATGTAGACTGCATTGAGGGCACCTATCAGCTTACTCTTCTCCAAACTGAAAACAAGTAACCTCAGCCACTCCTTGTAAGTCTTGCCCTCAAGACCTTTTGCCATCTTGGTCATCCTTCTCCAAACACACTGATAGTTTGATGTCCTTCTTACATTGATGCGCCCAAAACTGCACACAGTGCTCAAGATAGGGATGTGTAGAGTTGGGTAGTCTCCTCCCTCAACCAGCTAGCTATGCTGTGCTTGATGTACCCCAGGACACAGTCAGCCCCTTTTGGCTGCCAGGGCACACTGTTGACTCATATTGAACTTACCATCAACACAAACCGCCACACCTCTCTCAGTAGGGCTGGCTTTCCAGCTTCTCATCCCCAAATTTGTATGCATTACCAGGATTACCCTGTCTCAGGTAGAAAATCTTGGTCCTGTTAAATTTCATATGGTTGGAGATTGCCCAGCTCTCTGGTCTATATCTTTCTGTAAGGCCTCTCTACCCTTGAGGGAATCCACAGGTCCTCCTAGTTTGGTATCATCAGCAAGTTTACTTAATGTACACTGAATTCCTGCATCCAGATCATTTATAAAAACGTTAAAGAGCACTGGCCCTAAAACTGAGCCCTGGGGAACTGACTAGCTGCCAGCCTGATGTAACCTCATTTACTATAACCCTCTGAGTGCGACCCATCAGCCAATTGCTCAGCCAGCATATTATGGACTTGTCTAGCTGTGTCCTGGGCAGTTTATGCAGAAGGATACTGTGAGAGACTCGATTGAAACTTTGCTAAAATGTGAAACCCCCACACCTATTGGCTTCCTTTGGTCAACTAGATAGGTGACCTTGTCATAAACAGAAATTAAATTGGTGACCTACCCCTCATGAACCCATACTGGCTATGCCCAATGACTGTGTTGTCTCTCAAATGTTTTTCAGTAACTTCCAGAATAACTTTCTTCATTACTTTAGCAGGTGCTGAAGTGAAACTGACAGGCTTGTATTACCAGGGTCTTCCTTCCTACCCTTCTTGACAATTGAGAAAACATTTGCCAAATTAAGGGTAGCCATGTTCTTTCCTCTTCAGAGGAGAGAAGCTAAATATCACTCTGGCAATAGGATTTATGTATTTCTGCCTTCACTGTTTCATCATGATTCCTGCTGAGTCACTAAGGCGAGTTAGAGGCCTTCAGAATGCTGCTCCCAAAAGGGAAAATAAGAAATAAGATTAATGAGAGATTTCCTACCTTTGGCGGGAGGTAGACTTTGATCTTTTATCTTGACCTAGATGAACGCACTGAACTGATTAACACCCATCTGAAACTCTTATTCAGGTACAGAAATGCTAAAATATGTAGCAGCATAGTAGAAGCCAAACGAAAGAGCTTTTAGCTGTTACACCAGTCCATCTGCTGTGGTATTTATAGACTTAATCATTTTAGGAGCTTAAGTATTGGTAGAGCAAATCATTCACGGTGTTTATCTGCTTCTGTCTGTTATCTGAACATAAGGATATGTCAGGGGAGTATGCTGCCAAAAGGAAGATTGTGAATTAGATGTCAGTATCTATTCTCATAACTGCTATGATTATTTGGTTTCTTACATCCTAAACCATAAATATTGTTGTTGAGTTCTGTTAGTGTTGCGGGGAGGGGGACGTGTTTCTAACATAAGAGCCTTATTTCTATTACAGTCAGTTCTGAGAATGGGTAGGAGGGAGGAAATCAAGAGTATCTCAATGATAAAAATGTTTCTAAAAACCGCACATGGTTATATTCAGGAATCTGGGTGTGAGTAACTGGTGTTCAGTGATGCCTATTAAGCAAATGTGAAAATGCTGAAAGAGGATGTGTAAGTCAAGGCATTTCAGAAGTACTTTCATGCTTCGAGAGTATTGCTTACTTTAATCGTGGGTGTTCTCGCTTATATAGGTCTGATATTTTCTGAGGCTTTCTCTCCTGTATGAAGGCTTCAACAACACTTCGCGCTATTGAATCCAACAAGTTTAATACACACACACACTTATTTCTATAGAAGCTTGGTGGCATTACCCTTTCAATACAAGGTCTGGAGGAAGCAGCACAGGCTTTTGCTACTTAAGAGAAGAATAATGGAGGGAGCTGATCCAGATCCCTTTGGCCTTGGCTGAAACAAGTGATCTTGGAGCTCTTGCTGCTGTTGCTCATGGTGAAAAGAGACAACTCTACTACTTCTTTCCACTGCTAATTAGCTGCCAAGGTTAAACTGAAAGGTTTTTTTTCAGTTTTTCTTGTGCTTCTGTGGTTCTAGAACCATAGAAGAACCTGGTCCTATGCTTCCCTAGAACCAGGGAAGCAACAGAGAAACTGGTTGACTTTAATCTGAATGGGCAGCCAAACCGGTCAGTTTGCAGAGCTATAAACAGTGGTTTTTTGTCACTTAAGGGAGATGAGTCTTATCTAACTTCACATGACTTCAGTGTAGACAGCTTCACCCTGAATCAGTTTTAGACAGGGACAGAAATAAGTGGGGGGAAGGAGGGGGGGGGGTTGTGTGTGTGATTGTTGGTTGTTTTTTTTTTGTTTTGTAGCTCGTCTCTTGCTATATAAAGTAGGTCAGATGAATGCTGTCCTAAAATTGCTTGTGTTCCTCACTGGTTTTATAGGAAGCCTGAGGTGAGTTACTATTGTTTTGTCCATGTTGTTTAGCTGACCTAGGCTTCTAAGGCTAGGTAAGGTGAACCTCTGCTGCAGTGTTCTGAACAGAACTGCAGGTACCAAGTGTGAACATGAGTGAAGAATGGAGAGTTGGCAGAATTTACTAACTTACACTACGCCCCAAGTTGTAAGGGAAAGATTCTGGGGGGGGTTAATTTAAATAGTGCGTATTATGCATCATGGTGAAGGCAAAACAGTGGAAAGTAATGCTTGCAAATATTTGCAGGAGAATTCAGACAGATGCAACTGGGTAGATTAAACAGGCAGTAAACGTGGATGTTAATGGTTTAAAGAGAGTCTTCAGCTTTGCCCCAAAATTTACACATGTTCCACTTGTAAATATCTGTCTCTGTGTGCTTTGCTTCAGTTCAAGCTCTATTTACTGTAAACCAGTGATTAGTAGTTGCAGCATAGGCTACTACATGCTTCAGGAAGTACAATTATTGTCCTTTCAACACTGTTTTCAAATACAGCTTTGAAGCATGTTTCTATTCTTTTTGCAAATCTGTGTATATTCATTGTTTGGAAAGCACCGTTTTGTGACTGGTGTTTTCAGATGTTCTTACAGACTGCTGCATTCAGAATACAGTAATTCTTCTCAATTGTCTTAGTGCTAAAATGTGATTGCACTGTTGCAGATTTTGCCAGTGTGTTCTAATGTTGTGAAAAGAAATCTCTGAGAAATCTCGTTGATAGAAAAATGCTGGGGGCAGAGGTACTGTCTTTTTAAACCTAGAAGTAACCGGTGGTTCAGCACATGTGGATTTATTGGAGGAATAGGTGCTTTTAACACAGTTTTTATATCCAAAGTACTTGTCGCTGTCTATTCAGAGTATAAACAGATATGTATATTACATAAAATACGTATAAAAGTGTTCATGTGGGAAGAACTTCAGGCAATTAAGAGGCTAAAAATATTGTGAAGTTAGGAAAATCCAAGTTCATAGCTTTCATTGGGATTTTTAATCCGGATTATAGGCATATATATTTTCAGAAATTTTAACAGTGGGTGCAGGCAGAGTAGATAAGTGGCACAGTTTGCAAAATGAAGAACTGAGCAGTAGCAAATACTGGATTTTGCAGTCTGCTTTTGTAAGAAAATTACGAGGGAAGGCTTTCAGTAAGTCTCTGAAATTTACTTATTCATAGAAGAGCACAAATCTTACTGGGTTTTTGGCAAGTGCATGTTTAAACTCCCCTGTTTCTTCATTTAATCCATATATATTAAAAAAGAAAAGAAAAAGCCAACCAATCTACCAAAAAACACCAACCTGCATCTGTTTGACAGCAATAATGGACAGGATTTTGCTGCACATA